GGGGGGGGGGGGGGGGCAGCCCTTGCGTCTGTGGGAGGAGGTGTCAGAAGGACACCAGAGACACACTGGACCACACTTTGGTGGCCAGGAGCAAGGCCCATGCAGGAGACGGCTCCTCCGTAGTCCTGCTTCCACCCCAGTTCACCCTCTGCCCAGGTCTGGGCCACATCCCTTCCCTCTGCGCCCCCTGCATCCAGAGCTGTAGAGGGGCTCTCCGGGGCCAGCCCCTGAAGCACACGCGGGAGAGAGCCCGCCAGGTCCCCAGGGGATCACGCACAGGCATCCACTGGCCCCAGTGCTGGGAGGATCCATCTGTCCTCGACTCTTGCATGCACGGCTCCAGCTCCTTTCTTCCGCACTCCCTTCCCTGGTAGGTATTACTCGGACATCGGGAAGATGCCGGCCATCAGCGACCAGGACATGAACGCATACCTGGCCGAGCAGTCCCGGATGCACATGAATGAGTTCAACGCCATGAGCGCACTCTCGGAGATCTTCTCCTACGTGGGCAAGTACAGCGAGGAGGTGAGCCCACCCTGCCCGGCGCCTGCTGGGAAGGACAGGGAAGCTATGGAAAAATCCCCGCCTGTGGCAATCTCTATGCACAAGAGCACGGGAACCCCAGACCACGCTCTGTGTCTGCTGGGGAAGCCGTCTGTCGCCCTGGATTTGGGGGCTCTGTGCCACAGATGGGGATCGTAGGAATGCCCCATTCTGTAAATTCCGCATCAGTCCTGTTCTCAGATACTTAAAGTGTCTGTTTCTTTCCTTTTCCTTTTTAAAATTCTTGTGTCTTCCCTGCTTGTCCCTCCTTTTATTTTTGCCTTTTCGCTCTCTGATCTAATCCTCTTTAAACAAGCAGTTTCCCACTCCTGTGGCAGGCTGAATGGTATGGTATGGTGGGATAGGACAGGACAGGACGGGACAGGACGGGACAGGACAGGACAGGACGGGACAGGACAGGACAGGACGGGACAGGATCAGAACAGAACAGATACAGAGCAGAGTGGAATGGCATCTATTTTACTTGCTGTGTTCCCCAGGTGGAAAACCTCACCTGGGGTCATTGCCACTGCAGACACGGCCTTCTTCCTGGCCAGTACAGAGGTGCTTCCAGATTTCTTAGTCATGCAGGCTTGGCCCAAGTGGGTTCAGAATCCAGGCTCCCTCTGTCTGAGCAGCGGCATAACCACCTTCTCCTTGAGCAGAAGGTAGTAACAGGAGCTAAAGCCAGTGCCCCCCTTCTCTGCCTCCTCTCTATCTCGTCACTGAGAGAGGGTCTAGGAACCCCAGGCTAAGGAGGGAGCCCCAGCAGGCCACGGGCAGCATAGTGCTGTGAACGCCAAGTGCAGGGGAAGCCAGCCGTGAGTCCCTCAGGGGAGGGACCGAGACTGCAGGCCATTGCTGGTCTGGGGCAAAGTTTTCACCTGTCCGTGGCCACGTGAGAGAAGTAAGGACGATGCGGAGTGTGTTAGGGTGGGACTGTAACGGCCTCATCTTGGAAGGACTGCCCTTTAGTCTACAAGGACACTCATCTGCTCGTGGTATGAAAATGTCCCATCCTCGTGAAATGCTGGTGCCAGTAACTGGCAGTTCTTGGCCAGCTAAGAAGTTGGCAATTCCATCTTGGTCTCCCCCATTAAAACTGCATTAAGTGGGCCAAGAAATCCAAGGCTCTAGGAGCCTCCCTTCGAGCCTTCACCCTCCTCCGCCTCCCTGCCCCTCAGCCCCAGCACCGGCACAAGCATGCCTGTTTGTCTCACGCACCCCTTGTGGAGCAGACTTTGTGGGAAGGGCACACGCGTGTGTTCTGTGACTCTGTCCTCTGCACTGGAGCAGCCCACGCGGGGACCAATAGTTCCCCCATTTTACAGATGAGGCAGTGAGGGTTCAGAGAGGTGACATGTTTTGCCCCAGATCACCTCGCTAGAAACTGGTTATTCAATCCCGTATCTCCTGAGTCTGAGTCATATTCTAACACATTTTCCATCGTGTTCCACAGTTGCTCACCATCACTGTCCTCACCAACCATCTGATCTCAGAAAAGGCTTTGGCAGACTTTGTCATGAGGTGCTGATGACCAGGAAAGCTTGAGATAGGGCTCTTTGAAGGATATTTGTTTGATAATGCACAGTAAAGCCAAACGACTTTCTAAATGTGGGACGTGGGGCTTCGTGATGCTGATAAGGAAGATATTCCTTTTTTTGGATGAAGGGTGGGATTTCTTAATATCTGTGAGGTCCCATTCCCCAGAGACACAGGGCACCGGACTTTACAGGGGTCACTTGTTAACCTGCAGGTCACTGGCGCGTCTTTGCACAGGTGTCTTCGGCCCACTGCCAGCTGTCTTCCGTGGACAGTGAAGTGCACACATTTATTCAGACATGCTGATGTAGGTGCTGACACCCTGAGCTCACTGACACAGGGCTACCCACACACTGCACCCCGCGCCCGCGTTAGCCAGGCTGCCTGCTGACCCAGCAACGTTCCGTGTGCATCTGCACATACACATGGCTTCCCAAGCCTGACCGCACCCGCCCTAAGAATGCGAACGTGCACGCACAGACTCGTAACCCCCCTGTTCTTGCCCCTTCAACAGATCCTCGGACCTCTGGACCATGACGACCAGTGTGGGAAGCAGAAACTGGCCTACAAACTAGAACAAGTCATAACCCTCATGAGCTTAGACAGCTGAGAACCGTCCTTCCAGGGCCCCTGGGGGGAGGGACACACCAAGCCGTGCCTCAGTCTAGATTATCATCTTTACCAAGTGCAAGTTCCGACTGGCGTCAGCAGCATCCCCTGAGCAGCGCTGTCTCTCTCTCCGCCTCTTTGCGTCTCTCCCTTCTCCCTGCATCCCTTCTCTCTCAGTTGCTCTGCCAACACGACCGAACCACACCGCCACCCCTCAGTTAGTCCAGGATGGCCAGGCTAAGGCGAGGGGCCCAGCCAGAAGATACCAGAGGGGCTCTCTTTACCGGGTGAGCCCAGGCGTCAGCAGCGGGGCCTGAAAGATGGCCGAGGAGCCGCGGAGAGAGGACGTTCCTGTGCTGCTGCTCCCCCCCCTCGCACGCTGGGCCGGACCTTGGTCTAGGGAAGAGGCAATGAGCTCAGTATTATCTTCACTGGGAAGACATCACCTGGCTCTCTCCCTTCTCACATTTCCACCTCCAGGGGGTCCTCTGTGTGTGGCTCTGTTGTAACTGTGAGAAAGGCCACAGCTCCTGCATGGCCAGAGTGGGGGCAGGGGTGAGGAGCTGGGAGGTGCTTTTCAAGCTGCCTCTCACTTGTGTTGGTGTCCCGAGGCTTCCTTGTCCCCTTCCGGTCTTCTTGGAGCCCTTCCCAGTGCTCCTAGGGACCTGCCTGTCCCATCTCCTCCCCTGTCTGTGGAAAGCCAGACAGGAGAAACAGCAGTTACCTTCCACGATGGAGAGCCTCCGGACCTTCTGGTCTGGCTCAAAGGGGCAGAAACATAACATGGAGGGGGAGAAAGGGAAAGAGAGTTGCATCCACCCTGGAAGCAGAATTTGTTGTTTTTCATTCACCACCCACCCCCCCCAAGTGCAAGTGAAGCACGCCCGTGGTCATGGGTCTAATCGATTGCCAGATCTTCGATGCTGTCCAGAGAAAGCACCTGCATCCTCCTTGGTTGGCGCTCATCAAGGGTCAATGTAAAATGCAGAGTACATCCAGGAGATTCTACCTCCAGCCGCCTTTATGGCTCCATCCTCACCACCCTTCCTGAGAACTCTAGAGAATGCTGGGGCAGAGAGCCCGAGCCCCCGCCCCCCTGCAGAGCCTGGTGCCATTGCTATGCAGATGACTTTGTCATTCCACTGTCCAGACCTCCTTGGCAATGACTCCTTCAACATCCTCTGTCTCCTCAGTCACTGCCCTTCCTCACCTCCTCCCCAGTCATTATGGAAAGAATCACACTCAAGCACAGCCTCATGGAGACAAACCAAAATGCCAGCCAAACTCAGCCCCCAGCTTGACATGTCCGGGACGGACCGAGAACTCTAGCTGAAGGACGTGGCCAGCAGCGACAGAAGAGATATACAGTGGACCTCAGCCCTGGCGTCTGTTTCTCCATCTGTCCCTCCGTCTCTGGATGGATCATTTCAGCTTGTCAGGCAAATGTGTGCTGAGACATGGGTGAGCAGGGGCTGTGGTAAGAAACGGTCTAACAGAGGGGTCACGGAAACCTTAATCCTGAAGGGACCTTAGATGCCATCTGACCCAGTTTCCCACCATAAACAAGATTCTCTCCTGGCAGCCTTGGTGGCTAGTTGTACACCACTCTGAGAGATGAGAAGCATCATCTAAGGTGTGGTTATGGGTGAGGGTTCCAGTCTTGCCTTCACTCCCCGAGCATCAGACGTTATTCCCTGCAATCCACTCAAAATGAGCCCCCATTGGAAAGAGGAAGGAACCGCTCCATTTCCAGCAAAGTCTATGGGGCACCCTGTACTTTTAAGAATGCTAGCCCCTTTGGGTCTGAATATGTGTGCATGTGTGAGTGTGTGTGTGTGTGTGTGTGTGTGTGTGCACGCGTGGGTGTGTCTGCCCCAGAAGTAGGCAGAGAGCTCAGAAGGATTCCTTGTCCTATGTAGGGGACTGTGAAGTGTTTCCCTTCTCCACCCTTGCTCATTCATCGCGGCTTCAGGACATTTCAACGCTAGCTTTCCATGCTGAGCACGGGTGGATGGAAGGAGAGCCACCTGTCTGTAGGAAACCAGGGTGGTCACTGGCCGAAAGCGGCCTGGACTTGACTAGAGGCTGGGTGGAGGTGACCCACAACAGGGCATTATGTGGCATCAAGGAGGACAAATGGGGACAAAACACAAGTAGCCTAACAACAGGAAGGGGAGGATGGGGATGAGACACACGCCAAGGGGGGAAAATAACCAAAGGTTTGGCAGATAAAGTGCCAGGTGAGGAGCGTGGGATTTCTACCCTTGACCATTTTATTTCCTCCCAAGAAGCCACGGGCCCTGGCCGGAAAGCAAGCACGTGGGAGGCAGGCGGAGGAGGCTCCACGGCCACTGAGATGTATTTGCACACATGAGGGGTTGGGGAGGTGAGAGACACAAACCTATTTAACAGATTTGCTGAATGCAAGCGAGTGTATGTGTGAGCGCATGTATGAGTGAGTGTGTTTGATTTATTTTTTAAGTTTTGCACAGTTAGAAAAAAATGAACAGGCAGACAAGAAGACTGTTATCATGGTTCTGCTGAAGCTTTTATTTTTTACCGGATTATTATTATTGTTGTTATCGTTCCTTTGTCGGTACAGAACTTCCCCCCCTGACCCCCGCCATGTTTTGTCACAAGAGAAACTTCAAAACCCTCAGAGAAACCTCAATGTCAGGAAGAAAGAGGAGAGGACAGACAGTCTCCTGGCTCTCCTCCTTTCTCCCAGAAGAGGGTTTGAGGACAGATTTTACCCTAATTGTTGGCGGGGGGCAGGTGTGGGTCGCTGCTGGTGTTTTGTTTGCCGAAGCCTCTGCAGCCTGCTCGGGCTGGAGAGAGAGGATAGACTCACCCAGAGCTGCAGCCTGTCTTGCCCACAAAAATTCTCTTTCCTTTCACTGTTTGTTTTCCATTTCTTCCGTTTGGATTCATGGTGCATGTGTGATACGTTTCAAAGTACAGACGAGGCAGCATTGTCAAAAAGCTGTCCTTGCCTCCCCCATGTTCTTTCCAGAACTCCCCTTGGGATCCCCGATCTCCTCCGGGCAGGCCAGAGACCCCGAGAGCTGCCCGGGGGGACATGTGGGCCAGCACACCGCAGAGAAGGGAGCTGGGCAGACTGGTCCGGTGGAAGGGAGCCCCCTCGAGGCCTCCCCCCCCCCCCCCCCCCCCCCGTGACAGTGAATTTCCAGGGTCATAACTCTGTTTAAGGTGGAATCTTTATCTAACTCCTTGAGTCCCAGGCAGAGAGGAAGGGAGACAAGGCCCATCTCCTCTCACCTCTCCCTTCAACCACCTCCTGCACCCTCCACCCCTGAGATGGTGCTGGGAGATCCCACAGTCAGAATAACTGACATGGGTTAGGTGGGGATTTTGAATGTAGAAGGGAGATGGGCTGAAGGCTGGTAGTGGTAGGAGGTGGGGAGCTTGGTGGGGTCCCGAACTGAAAAGGATGGATGGATAGAAGCTGAGAAAGACAGCTGCAGGCAGGTCACTCCTCTCGCGGGGCATGAGTCTCCCCACGTGTGGGCTTTGCCATCCTTTGTCCTTCCACGGAAGGAGAGACCCCCCACATCTCTTGGTAACTGCAGGCGGTACCACTCAGTGAAGTTGGCTATGGTGTCAGTTAATTCCTCAGGAAAATATTTTTTTCTTGCCTTCTTTCAATGTGGTCTGAATTTGGGGACCGAGGACAACCTGAGTGTTCACAGGCCAAAGTAGGCTCACACCCCCAGGGCGCCCTAGACCCTCCCTCTCGGGAGCCGGTGGGCTGGCGGGTCAGGCCCCGGATGCTTGAGCAGGGCTACGGTCGAGAGAGAAGTCATTTTCAGTAATCCCAAAGTGAAGCAGACTGTCCAGGACTGTGCCAGGCAGAAGCGGGAGTCGCCGACAGGTAAGGTCGCTGACCTGGTCCGCTCGGGCCCCCGTCTCACCCCGCCCCCTGCCAGCCCTGGGCTAATGTCGAGGTACTGTCCCAGCACCCCACTTCCCCCTGCCCGAGGTCCTTGTGCTCATGTCCCTCTTGCATGTCTGGCTTCTGAGGGTGTCCCTCCCCTGCAGAGGGGAGTGTGTCCCCTCATCCCCCTCACCTGCAGTCTCTGCCCCAAGGCCATGCATCCACTCTTACCCGGAGCCTCCGACCTCACAGCCCAGCACCCCTTCCCCCGCACCACCCTGGGGAGGCCCTAGGCCCCTCACACCCTTTTGACAATGCCTCCGTGAGTAGTTGGGGGTCTGGCCCTGGGGACCCCCAGCAGAGGAGCCGCAAGCAATGATTTCCCAAGCACCCTCCAGTCCAAGAGGCAAGTCCTGCTGATGTTTCCAGAGCCCTTAACAACCTGTTAAGATGGGGCTCGCTTTGACCTAATAGGCAAAACCCTATTTTCCATCTGTCTCCGTTCTTAGGAATAAGGGGACACTGCCTTTGGCTTCATAGGATGTAAAGTCAAATACTTAACCTAGCGAAGGTTAAGCTTAATTATTCATCAAGAACAAACTTTCCCACCTCTCACAGAGCAAGGAGGAAGGGGAAGAGGCAGGGAGGCCCAGAGACACCCCTTCAGGGATGTCCCAACAGGCAGTCCCAGCGAGAGTCTGAAAGGCCTCCGAAAGGCATCCCTGGGAAGGACTAACCCCCAGGCACCAGAGTCCCCAAGAGAAGACCCTACCCTGGGCGGATCCTGGCTCCTTCGTGGCCTTTCTCCTTGCTCCTAGTTCACATCAAGGCCCTCCCGTCAGCCCCCCATGCCTCCAGTCAGCTCCCAGGACAGGTGACAGAGGGCCCTTGACCCCTCAGCCCCTCCTTGTTTCTTTATTCTGTATGTGGGCTGTTTATTTGGGGTTTGAGGTTGGTAATTTTTTGTCTGTATATGTTTGAGATTAAGGAGGGAGCCAAGGTGTGGGTGAAAAGTCCAAATTGCTGGAAGGAAGAAACAAGACTCTTCACCTGTGACTTGCAGGGATGAAGAGAGCCACAGGGCTGGGGGTGGGAGGGGCTCCCCG